CATCAGGAGGCTGAACCCTCAACAGTCTGCAGAATCCCCTCACTGATTACACTGTAAATGATAATCTACCTTAACCAAAATCAAAGTAGACTATCACTCACCCACACCAGATGGAAAACTCTACAGACTGTCGATTCACACCCCATCACAAGCCAGCAAAACATCCATGAAACAAAGAAAGGTCTGTCACAACCAAAAAATACACTCCAGACACGCCGCTGGCACTAGAGGCACAACATATACATGCACACCGCAAAATCCTGTTTTTTTTCCAATATATACCTGCACTACATACACAAACCGATTACTGGATATCACCCCTGATGCAGTATGCCACGGAACAAATATTTGTTGCCGCAACTGCAGACCGGTACACCTGCATATTCTGAATATTTCTATACATCTTTACTGTATCCCAATAAGAACCCCGACCCAATGCAAAGAAGTAAGTTTTTTTAACCGACGAGCCTTAGGGACCGCGAAAAGACACCCGCTCTCGAGTACCATACGAAGGCTTACGACAATCACACATTTCAAAAGGCACTACCTCGAAACGACGCGCCTGATCCGCTACGGGACAGACGGACAAGCAAACAGGACAGACAAACCATGCCGCTCCCACCCTCCACCATAGCCTGACCTTCTCCCAAAACGACAAGGAATCCACAACCTGCACGCACTAAGGCGCAAGCAAAAACAACAAGTAGAGTGACGACACAATGCAGCTGCATGCACGACAAATGGACCATAATGACCTACCGCTCACAGTACCCCGTCACCCCTTCCACAATGTGTACCCACACATATGCACCTATGGTTGTAATGATCCCATACCAAAGTAAGCACCCATCCCCAACCCTGTCTGCCTATACTAGACGACCTCGGAACTGCCTCCTCTCCATCCACTGCCACTATCTGCAAAGAAGCCAACCCCAACCCCTCCGAAATGGAGCCACGCTTACATTCCCAGCCTTACTCTATCCCCACTATAGCAAGAGCTTACAACCCTCCCACCATGGATCGCAGGATATATACTGTGCCAGCGCGGCCGTTCCAACATCTACCACACACAGTCGGGCGAGCTTGCTGCTACTATGCCTTCGTAGCACTGTGCCCACGCATGCTCTTCGGACTCCTGCAGCCGGACCTGCATGCTTGGCAATTCCTCTTGCCCTTCTTGCCCACTGGGATTCAACCTCTAAATTGATCCCATACCTGCGTCTGGTATAGCACGTGTATGATACACTAATCGCTGTGCTTGAAGTGCTTGCCACCTGAATCTGCGCTGCACAAGCCTCGCTTGGAGCTATGGCGGCGACTGAGCTATGGCGGCGACTGACTGTCCAGCGGCACCGACCATGACAGCTCAGGTATGGACCTCTGATATAGCGGCCTACTTGCCTCCTGGGCGGTGACTTCCAGGCCGCTCGGCCTCCTCAAGCAACCGGTACTTCCTCCGCTTCGGAGGGAAACATCATTGCAGACCCTGATATTGCTCTTACAGGCTCTAGACTCAGACTGGTTGGACTGGTACCAACCTAGACCTACCCTACCGCTACTGGACTCTAAAAATGCCAACTTTGTCTTTTTCTGCTCGGCCTCCAGTACCCCCTCACGCCAACTACAGTGGGGTGCAGTTTCGGCCTACCTGCCTACTTGAGTGTTTTTCCGCTACCCCAAGGGCCGTGGGGCCGCTAGCTTTGCCACTTTAGTGTTTTTCCCTGCTACAACCCTCAATGCCATGGCCACAGGTAAGTACCGGGCCTACGGGCCTGCCAAACGAGCAAGTACCCTTGCGGGTCACACACACTCATACCGACAAGCACTCAGACAGGCACGCAGGTCACAAGTACGCACACACACAGACAAACTAAGAAAACACAGCAGAATGCGGGAATCTCAGCCATGCATCCATTCCATCAGCAGAACTTCAGAAATCAGCAGTGTTCTCAGTCTGTGTTATGACGGGTCATTACAGATTGATTGATTGATTGATTGATCAATTGATTCATTCAGTTTTTTTTGTTTTTTGTTTTTTGTTGATTGATTGATTGATTGATTGATTGATTGATTGATTGATTGATTGATTGGTGGGGGCGGGGTCGCCCCACCCCGCCTTTGTTTGTTTGTTTGATTGATTGATTGATTGATTGATTGATTGATTGATTGATTGATTGATGGGGGTGGGGTCGGCCCCCCACCCCCAACAGGCCCACACACACACACACACACAC